CTGCAGCATTGGAAAGCACCCTGGAAACATAACCATGGGACCAGCTCAAACTGATTAACCATTGCTTAAGTAAGTTGTTACAGGTGACAAAGAGCCAAAATTGCCTGCGTAGGTACAGTAGAAAGGGCTTTGGCCTTCTAATTTACTACCACCAGCCCGACGGACCAGCTGGATTGGCGTCACCTGGGACTAGTTAGAAAGACCATAAAAGCTGGAGCTACTCCCAGATTGGAGAGACAGATATGAGTGCTGCCTCTTGTCTCCTTGTCAGTTGACTTGAAATAAAGTGTTTTCTTTTCTCCAAAGCTGGTGCCAGAGCATTGGCTTCTATGTGCATTGGGCGGTGAGCCCATTGCTCAGTAACAATAGGTGAGAATGGATATTGAGCCACAGTCAACCAATTACTGCACTGTTCTGCCTGAGTCCCATTATTGTGTGCTCATCTGTCTCTAATTCAACCACATAAATTCAGCAGAACTAAACCAGTTTACCAAGGTAGACAGAGAGATTTAAACATGGGGGCAGTTTTACCAAACGTTCAACTCAAGGCATGAGCATCAGATCTGAAGTGAGTATGAGAGGGAAGACATGAATTTCTTGTTTCCTCAGGTGATCTCAGTACTGAGGTGCCTCTCACAATATGTGTATATATTCTGAATAAGTAAATAGAGCGATTACAAAGCCATATCTAGGGTTTCCACTCCAGAGAGGGGTAATGAGAGAGGAAAAAGGAAAAAACCAGATAGGCAGGCAGTTAGGGTGGGTCCATGGTTGAATTATTTCAAATCAAAGAACAACCTGCAGGCATAGATAAGGGAACTTCCACTGCAGGTCTTGCCTATGACATGCTCCCAGCCACGCAGGTAAGACAGGCTACACAGGTGACTTACCCAGACATGACTGCAATGGAATATTGCATCCCCTGACACATGTACAGTAAAGGGAAGAAAGCAATATGAAGTAACTTCAGCTAAGGGTTTGCATATGCACTAGGAGGACAGGGTGGAGCTACCAGAAATTCACAGGTTATGCAAATGAGATGCTCAGTCCTCCTTGGTTTCTTACAGAAGCCTTTGCATTGAACTGTAAAAATGGCAACCCTCTTCCAGGTACCCTTTCTGCAGCAGAGAGCTTTCTTCTTTCACTTATTATTATTTTTTTAATTAATTACTTTTTTTTTGAGACAGAGTCTCACTCTGTCACCCGGGCTGGAGTGCAGTGGCAAGATCTTGGTTCACTGCAATCTCTGCCTCTACGGTTCAAGTTCTTGTGCCTCAGCCTCCTGAGTAGCTGGGACTACAGGCGTGTGCCACCACGCCTGGCTAATTTGTTTTTGTGGTTTTTAGTAAAGATGGGGTTTCACCATATTGGCCAGCCTGGTCTCAAACTCCTGAGTTCGTGATCTGCCTGCTTAGCTTTCCAAAGTGCTGGGATTACAGGTGTGAGCCATCAAGCCAGGCCTCTTCGTTCACTTATTAAACTTTTGCTCCAACCACCACCCAGCCGCCTACTGCCAAAAAAAGAAAAAGCTGTATCTTAGTCAAAATCTGGCTCCTAACAGAAGGCCAAACCCCTTTGTGTTTCTAAGATAAATTGGTAGACCCAAAGAATACTCTAGCGAAGTAACTTTAAAAATCCTGTTGATAAATTTTTGCCTTCCTGGGTAAAATTCGGGCCCTTCCTCCTCACTTTCCCATAAGACCTAGCTTTGTTGTATTTCACTGAGAATTCAGTGATAATCAATTCAAATGAGCAGTCATGTGAAAGGCTGTTGTCAACTATAGAGTCCTGTCTACATCAGGTGTTATTATCACACATGGTGCTTTACATGTAATGGGTACTTTCAACATTTTGCCAATTTTTCTTTATTATTTACCCCCTCTCTTAAGGCAATATATACCTATGTATTATGTATATATAAATTTTTTTCTGAACTGTTTGAGAAGTTTTAGAAATCATGTCCCTTTGTCCTTAAATACTTCTGTATACATTTTCTAAGAAGAATGTTCACTCAGAATATTGACCATTGATATACTACGATTTAATCTACAGACCTTATTCATATTTTGCTAATATTCTCCATGAGTTTTTTTTATATCAGTGCTTTTTTTCCATCCAGGATTCAATCCAGAATTACGCATATCGTTGGGTTTTCTGCACTTTCTTTGATTTTCAGGACTTGGACATTTTTTAAGAAATCAGGCCAATTCTTTTTATGAAGTCACTGAAATTGGGTTCTGTCTGATAATTAGAGTCAGATTATGTGATTTTGGCAGGAATAGTAAATAAACAGTTTGAGCCTGCCTTCTTAGCCCTCACTTTCAAGGGATAAGAAAGAGTTGGCAGGAGATCAAATACAACATAATGATTTGGGTGCGGTAGGAATGGGATAGCACCTGTTCGTAGCTGAGGGCTAGGGGAGAGCAACCCAAGGTAGATTCACTAGGCAGTAGTTTAAAGGCTGCTGGACAGAGTCAGCCAATGTGGAAGCCAAAAGACTAGACCAAGTTCTGCCGTTAATCAGGCAATATTGAGTTGCGATAATAAAAAGGATGGTAAGGCCGGGTGTGGTGGCTCATGCCTGTAATCCCAGCACTTTGGGAGGCTGAGGCGGGCAGATCACGAGGTCAGGAGATCAAGACTGTCTTGACTAACACCGTGAAACACTGTCTCTACTAAAAGTACAAAAAAATCATCCAGGCGTGGTGGCATGTGCCTGTAGTCCCAGCTACTTGGTAGGCTGAGGCAGAAGAATCACTTGAACCCAGGAGGCAGAGGTTGCAGTGAGCTGAGATCACGCTGCTGCACTCCCACCTGGTTGACAGAGCAAGACTCTGTCTCAAAAATAAATAAATAAATAAATAAATAAATAACAAATAAAAAGGATGGTGATTATCATAACAATAATGACTTTATTTAGCAACATGTGAAGTGCTTTGATATGCATTATCCTATAAAATCTTTCAATTGTCTCATGAGGTAGAAATGATTCTTACTTTATGGGTGAGGAAACTGAGGCTGGGGTGGATCAAGTGGCTTGCCCAAGGTCACCCAGGTGGAAAGTGGCAGAGCCGGAGGCCAGACCCAGCTCTCTAAATCAGACTCTGAAGTTTGTCTTTCTAAACCAATATGCTGGAAAGGAAGTCACAGTACCTTTTTGGGAATTCATCTCTAAAAGGAGTGGAGTGAATAAAACAAATGTATAAGGCCGCACTTCTCAGTATTTTGGACTTCACAAAGCACTAAAAATAATTTTAAAAACTGGAAAACAGACACAGGACTTTTAACACGTGCTATTGCTAAGTAAGGATATTAAAATACAAAAATAAAATTTTATCTAGCATCAGTACTGTTTCATAAAAGAAGGGACATTTTAATATAAAAATAGGGGAAAGTAATAATCTCAAAAAGAACAGTCTTTGAAATTGGATGTATTAGTTTTGTAGCATGCTCGGTACCTTGTCATTAATTTTCCCACTTCACTGGGGCCTTGTGAAAGTTCTAACCTGAGTGGCCCTGATCTGTGGCCTGGCATTGGGGGAACACTGTTTTACGGTGTCTTCCTGCTCTAGCATCCAGTGGCTTTATTCTAGAGGACGAAAGTATGTGAGCAGGGAGAGGAGTGGTGAACAATGACCTCTTCCCAGGGTCTCTTTTCTTGCTTCTCTGCTTCTTAGCCCTCACTTTCAAGGGATGAGAAAGAGTTGGCAGGAGATCAAATACAACATAATGATTTGGGTATGGTAGGAATGGGATAGCACCTGTTCGTAGCTGAGGGTCTAGGGTAGAAGGTTCCAGAAAGCAGCTTCTGTCAAGTAAGGCACTCATTCTGGCACAGTGTTTTTGTTTGTTTTTTAAATTAATTTTGGTGACTGTTTCTTTTTATTTATTTATTTATTTATTTTTTGAGACAGAGTCTTGCCCTGTTGCCCAAGCTGGAGTGCAGTGGTGCGATCTTGGCTCACTGTACCCTCCACCTCCTGGGTTCAAGTGATTCTCCTGCCTTAGCCTCCGCAGTAGCTGGGATTACAGATGCACAGCACCATGCCCAGCCGAATTTTGTGTTTTTAGTAAAGATGGGGTTTCACCATGTTGGCCAGCCTGGTCTCAAACTCCTGACCTCAAGTGATCCACCTGCCTTCGCCTCTCAAAGTGCTGGGATTACAGGTGTGAGCCACTGTGCCCAGCCAGGTGATTTCTATTAATGTGTTAAATAACCAGGGTCTTGAAGTGGTTCTAATAACTCCCATGATTTCAAAGTAGTGATGATTATAAATAATATTTTGCAATATTAACTGTACTGTGATGTTAAAATACTGCTGAAGTGTGATGCCTACAGTCATAATTGAAGGAAAGGCACTATTTCAGTTAGAGGTCAGCGAAATCAAGATGCACTTTCTTTTCCCATCTGAGTTCATAGATTCCCTGACTTCTTCTATCCATGGGTCCATTGGTGGGTTGATGAGGAGTGGAGGATGGGATGTAGGAGGAATCTGAGGACCCCAGATTAAAACCCCTATTTTAAAAAATGTATTTTTATAAATTTAGAGGGTACAAGTGCAGCTTTGTTACATGGGTATATTGCATAGTGATAAAATCTGGCCTTTTAGTGTACCCATCCCCTGAATAGTTTACATTGTATACAATACGTAATTTTTCATTCCTCATCCTTCTCCCAGCCCTGGCATCTTTTGGAGTCTCTGTGTCTGTATGTTTTCCACTGATAACTATAATAATAATCATCAACAGCATAGCCTCAGACTTAGGTATGTTTTCTTCTCCCACTGGGTTTTAAAGCACAGCTCTCGTTTAATCTTTTCTTAGCTTTATTTCCAACCTTAAAAATAAAAATTAAACAATTTTAAAAACTTCCACCTCCTTCAACAAGGAGATGTATATATTAATGAGGAAATGTCTGCAAAATGCTTGCAATGTCTGGAATCAAATGAATTTTGTAAGAATAAAAATAATTCCTTTTTTTTTTTTTTTTTTTGAGACAGAGTCTCACTGTCACCCAGGCCAGAGTACAGTGGTGTGATCACAGCTCACCACCGCCTCGACCTCCCAGGCTCAAGCGATCATCCTACCTCAGCCTCCCAGGACTGCAGATGCATGCCACCACATCCAGCTAATTTTTGTACCTTTCGTACAGAAATTTTCACCATTTTGCCCAGGCTGGTCTCGAACTTCTGGACTGAAGGAATCCACCCTTCTTGGCCTCCCAAAGTGCTAGGACTCCAGGCAGGAGCCACTGTGTCCAGCCAGTAATAACGTCTTTATTTTGGAAGCAAACAGGGAGTAGGCAGAGGTAGATTATAAATTCTAGGGGTGTTTTGTAAACTGCTAATTTATGGCCAATGATGAGCAATGTTAGTCTATGTATGAGGATGTGAGACAACAAGAAGTGTTTGCAGGTGTAAGTTTATAGCTAGGGGATATAGATAGCAGAGCATTGTCATAGAATCTTAAAGAAACATTGACTCAAAGCTGCAAGGAATCTTAGGGTTCTCCATCTTCATTCTTTATCCCTGTGATCACATCCAGTCAGGGCCACGTTATGACTTTCTTGGACCCCCGGCACTTGCTTTTGCTCTGTAAAAGTATCTAAAATTATATTTTATGACTGCATTGGCATAAAATCACCTGTAATCCAGGCTGGGTTTATTATTACATAATCATTATTATATTTATGTTTCCTTTGGTTAAAAAAACTAAAATTAAAACATTTTTATGGGCCCCTAAAAGCATCATGAGCCCCAGGCACGTGCCTCTTATGTCTAATGGAGGAGTCGGTCCTGTCCGAGAGAGGGAATGCACTATGTTATGAAACCGCTCATGTATTTCTGTTTAAAAACCATTTGAATTGATAGAAAGTTTATAATAGGTATATGCACTTCTGTCATGTTCTTTTCTCTAGAGACAGTCTATTCCCTCTGTCTCATGTTCTCTGTACTAGATCCTGGCTATACAAAGTGTGGGCCATGGACCAGAAATACTGATATCACTCGGAGGCTAGTTACAGGTGCAGAATCTCAGGTCTCATCCCGTACCTACAGAATCGGAACCTGCTTTTTAACAAACTCCCTAAGTAATTCATATTCACACAGCACTGGAGAGAATCATAGCAGCAAAGGGTTATTGAATACTACTCTGCCGGACATCACTTTAGGTGCTTTATGTGGATTGTCTAATTAATCCTTTCAACAACTTTTATTTATTTTTCCCATCTTACAGATGAGCAAACTGAAACACAGAAAAGCCAAGCAACTGTCTTTATCCAGTGAAGAAGTGTGTGCGAGAATTCGGACCAGGCAATGTGACTCCGGGTTCTATGCTCTTTACCTCCATGCCAGTCTGCCCGTTCTCCTGTGCCCTTTTCATTTGAGAAGTTGCTGTTTGCCTCCCAGCTTACGGTTCAGGTTGCCACGGTGGGAGCCATTTTTTTCACAGCACTTAGTCCAACTCTCTTGTTACAGCTTACTGGGTGACAGGTAGATCCCTGATCAGTGGCAATCTATGGCTATTCTGCAGTCTGTCACTCAGGTAGGCTCTCACTCCGTGGCATTTAAATGAAGCAACTTGGAAAGAATTTGCTAGTTCTCAAGGAACAGGAAGAAGTGGATGGGTGGCCTGTAGATGAGTCATGTTTAAAGTAACTTATCTATAATAAAGGTATTAGAGCTTCTGCTACTTGAGATTCTAGAGCACCTTCAATTCAGATCCACTCTCCCACTCATTTCTCTGGGATTCCCAAGCCTATTATGGCTCAGTCTTTTGAATTTCCCTGGGAGTCCTTTTATTGTACCACGAGAAACCCTACAACAATCTTGCTTTACTTGAGTTAGCTCAAGTGGGTTTCTGTTTCTTATCCTAATAGCCAAACTACAAGAACACACATTGCCATATTTAGAAGTACTTGTGCATCTCCCTGAGCTGCCCCTTCTCCAAGGAAAGCACCCCCAGTTCTTTCTGTCAATCCTCATGCCATGTGTTCACTCCCTTTCTTGTTCCTCCCGCTCTGGACCGTGCAGTTATAGCCTTTGAAAATGGACTAATACGGAGGCTGGAATTGGAAGCCACTTATTTTATGTGTAAAGAATGAGCCTGCCAGCCTCAAAATTTCTTTCTTAGCACCTGGCGAGACTCTTCCCTGCAGCCCTAAAATTGGTTCTGTTTACAAGAGGGCACACTGTAACTGGAGCTATGACTAACAGCAGAGAACAAGCCCCCTGCCTTCCGCCCTCCACCCGGCACGCAAATGGGTAAGAGTAGGCCCCTTGAAGAAAAGCATCGGAAATTGGGGCGGGGAGTTTTTCCCAAGCCTGTCCTAGCTTGAAGGCATTTTAAAGGAGAAACCCTGATGGACTGTGTCTCCCCAGCTCTGGGGAAGGAACTGCAAACTGGCAGGCAGCCAGCTTGCAGTAGAGAGGAACTCCTCCAGCCCATTCCCCCTGGTGGTGGTTGTGTTCAGGTCAGTACTAACTTTAGCCCTGCAGTCCTCAAATGGGGACAGTCCACTAGTGGATTAAATCCTCCTTAAATGACTTAGAAACTTTTAGCCAGAGATCAGGGGAAAGGAAATGATTTCATTTATTCTCTGCTGGTTCACCATGACTTCTGAGGAAGCCATTCTCCAGTGTTTTGCAGAATAATAACACTTTCTATTCATATATCATTGATCTCCCAGGAGCTCAAAGTTTTCCACAAGATCTTATCAGCTAATTTCACCTGGGGTGCTTGGGAAGAAGGGAGGAAGCGAGGATAACATTTACTTTCTCTTCTCTTTAACTTTTAAGTTCCGGGGTACATGTGCAGGTTTGTTACATAGACAAACTTGTGTCCCGGGGGTGTGTTGTAGATTATTTCATCATCCAAGTATTAAGCCTAGTACCCATTAGTTATTTTTCCTGATCCTGTCCCTCCGCCCTCCACCCTCTGACAGGCCCCAGTGTGTGTTGTTCCCCTCTATGTGACCATGTGTTCTCATTATTTAGCTCCCACTTATAAGTGAGAACATGCACCCAAAGGAATATATTCTATTATAAAGACACATGTACACGTATGTACATTGTAGTACTATTCACAATAGCAAAGACACAGAATCAACCTAAATATCAATCAACAACAGACTAAATAAAGAAAATGTGGTACATATATACTATGGAATTCTACGCAGCCATAAAAAAACAGTGAGATCATGTTCTTTGCAGAGACTCAATGGAGCTGGAGGCCATTATTCTTAGCAAACTAACATAGGAACAGAAAACCAAATACCGCATGTTCTCACTTATAAGTGGTTGCTTTATTTTCTTCCTTGCAGTCACTCTTTCAGCTGAGACCGCTGTCCCTCAGAAAGACAGGTGAGGGTAAGCAATGCTGAGACATTTCTCATTATGTAAGTTGGCTTATGGTATTATCCCTGTACTGGCTTCATGCTGGGTGTCCAACTACCCACCAGTAGGTCACTATCCTCTTTCTGTAGTTTACTTGCCTCATTTCAATGTGGAGTAAATACCCTCATGTTGGGTTGGAGAAACTGGGGCTCAGAGAATCTGTGCAGGATGACTGAGTTCTCATGCCAGGTTATGGGTGAGTCTGGAGCCAATGTTATCACATGTTCAGCTACTGACATGTCCCTCTACGTTCTTCCTGCCTGCAGTGCGCAGGGAGTGGTTCCAAAGCTGAGGTTGGCCATAACTCTCTGAATCTGAAAAGATGTGTCCTGAAGTGTGTTTGAGGATAAAAGAGGGATGCACACTTGATCCGGAAGGCCTGACCCCAAGTTGGCTGGCCGGCATTCTGAAGTGGCTTTTTTCAGACCCACATCCTGTGCAGCGCTCTGCCGATCAGTCTGCCTCTCTGGGACTTGAATATTTCAAAAAGGATCTAAAGGGCCTTTCAAATGGTACCGGGACATAAATAGCTTTCACAGAAGAATGAATGTTGCCTCAGTGATGTGATGACTGAATCAGCACCACATTGAATTAGCAGCAATCTGGTGCTCTGGGTAATGGAGTGATGGTAAATGAACATTATTACATTTTTACCCAATGAATGAGTCCTTAATAAAAAAGACAAATGGCTTCCAGGTGTCTTGCCACAAAATTTCAACAACTGAGTCACTCAAGCTGGATGGAAGAACAAGAGGCAGTATAGAATCTGCTCGTGATTCAGTGGCCGCCAACTTGGATCGTCCCCAGTTCCAACTTTAGCATCTTTCTTTAGTCATTCTACCGCACAGTCAGTTCCCCTTGTGTAGATGCACAACAGGAGGAAATTCTAATGAAAGGACAAAGCTGCCACTGTCCCATCTGACCAAGCTTCCCCAGAGAGAACAGGCTCCCCATACCAGGAAATACTGTTCCTGAGAGGAAACACCTGTGGCTGGTCTGTGGCCGGGTCTGGAATTTCTGGCCATTCCAGAGCAGGACCGATTGATGTCCCGACTTCTGTGGTTGCTAGGATGTAAGGTAATTCCTCAGGAATGTTCTGTCGCTGGCTCAGCACAGCCTCTGCTGTCATGGCAGGAGGTGGGATGGCTTGGAAGTCTTGCCTCTGTCATAACTAACACTGACATGAGGTGGCTTGGGATCTCTCTGGGTCTTAGTTTTCTCAATTGTGAGGTTCATGGCCAAGAAAGGAGTTGGGAAAGGATCAGGTGACAAACACAAATGCCTCTGGGGGCCAAATAGGTGAGAGGAATGAATGGATTGTCTGGGTGTAAGACAATAGGAATGGTGGCGCCTGTGAGGAAGTGGAGAATAAATGCCTTGCCTAAAGATGTTCAAGTTCAAATAAAACAACAATCACCAGAACCCATATCGTAGGCCAAATAAAACACCAAGTTGATCTGATGACTGGAGTTTCCAACCTGTTCTGGAAGGTTGCTTCTAGTTTTCATGATCCAGCCTTTATCTGGAAGTATGTATTCTTACATATCAGAATTCCTAATTCTATTATGTATATGATATATCATTTCAAATGTGAGAAAGTATATGTATCTAATGCTGGGAATAAAATTCAGGGGAAATGCAGATCAATATAGGCTTTTATAGACTAAATCATAGGAAAAATCATTGGTCTGAAGTTGTTGGTTAGAAAAAAATATTAAATGTATGTGGTAGGATGTGACTCAGAGGTCATTTAAGTTCCTCTGAGCCACACATCTGGGAAGACAGGGAAAATGAGCCCCTTCTAAATCACACACTCCTCCTGTTCAGAGCCTAATAATTTTTCATCTGATTTGTATGTAGGCCTGTGTGCAGGGACTGTGCATATCTTATTAAACACTGTATGTGACCCTGGTACCTGACACCTAATAGGGGCTCAATACCTATATGATAAATAAATGAATGAGTTTGTGAAAATTGTAGTAGGCCTAGGTTTTAGTCTTTTCTCTTTTAAACGACCTAATATGTGTTGATTGCATAATTTATTTTAAAAGCATATATGTAATCATGCCAATTCTTTGCTCAAAGCCTTCTAAACATGCCACATTGCCTACACAACAAATCTTGAATTTCTTGGCATGATTTTTATTTCCATGTTCTGATTTATTCTTTCTGTTTAGTTCTATCTTCAAGTGATGTTGCTTCCCCTGCCCCCATATCATAGCCTAGCTTAACTACTTGTTCCCTAAACAAATTCTTTCATTTTTATGACATTCCCTCTGTAGTGCCCAGCTCTCCTTTTTCCCCAGCAAAGTGTTATCCATCCTTCAAGATGCAAATGTCCCCTCTCCAAGAAACCTTGCTTTATTTAAAAGCCAAATCAGAAATAATTTCTTTCTTCTGTGCCTTCGGCATATCTCAGATACGGTGAGTATTACATTCTGCCTTAAGTCGTAGCTATTTATTTACATACCCACATCCTTTATACCCATGTATAGAATCTAGACGTCTAGATTCTATAGAGTCTAGGTAGTGTCTAGTCCAGTGTCTAGAATCTAGATAGTAAACTTCTTAAAAGCATGGACTATAAGTTGTTCTTCTTTGCCTACTTCATAAACACGAAGGTATTCAATGAATTTATGTTGAATGATCAAACTGAAAAGTCTACCATTATTAGTTGTTTTTGATTGATGGAGAAATTTTGGGGGCTATCAGTTTACAGTTAGAGGAGCCCTTAACAAGCAAGTTTAGTGAGAAAAGATAATCCAAGGAAAAGTGTCACCTTTTGGGACAGAATTGTATAAAAATATATAGAAAAACACAAAAGCAATTCAGCCTAAGACATAGAGTACAGTTTGCCAAAGGGTTTAAGTAGCTTTCTGTTGATTATAAAGTCAGGGATCTGAACTGTTGTTGATGTAAAGATGGATAGTATTACAAAGACAAGCTCCGAAAAGGAGTGTTGGTCTGCACAGAGCCTGGAAATAAACAACTGAGACATGGGAACTCTCACCATGTCTTTCCTGTTGTTCAGAAAAGAGGGTAGGCCATTTTCACTGACTGGTTCCAGTTTTTTAGAGTGAAAAGAGGAAATTTATTAGGCTTCCATAGCTATTAAACATATCTCACACTGTGTGTTCTAATTCTGCATTCACTAAATAATTTTCTGATCTATAATTTGTTTATTAGTTTTACTAATGAGCACCTATATGCTGGCTCTGTTGAGAACTTTTATGTATAGTATCTTACTTAACTTTCATAACAACCTTCTGAGGTAGGTATTAAGAGCCCCATTTTTAGATGAAGAATCAGACTAAGAGAGGTTAAGTACAATGAGAACACATGGACACAGGGAGGGAAACAACAGACACTGGGGCCTGTTGGTGGGAGTCAGGGAATGGAGAGCATCAGGACAAATAACTAATCATGTGGGGCTTACTACATAGGTGATGGGTTGATAGGTGCAGCAAATCACCATGGCATACATTTACCTGTGTAACAAACCTGCATGTTCTACACTTGTATCCTGGAACTTAAAATAAAATGTTAAAAGAAAGAGGGGTTAAGTAATTTCCTTAGTTACCCATCAGAAAATGGTAGAGCTGAAGATTTAATGCAATCTCTTTGAAAATACCAATGACATTCTTAACAGAAATAGAAAAAAAATTCGAAAATTTATATGGAAAATTTATATGGGGTCACAAAAGACCCCGAATAGCAAAAGTAATCTTGAGTAAAATGAGCAAAGCTGGAGGTGTCATACTACCTGATTTCAAAGTATACTACAAAGTCATAGTAACCAAAACAGCATGGCAGTAGTATAAAAACAGACACATAGACCAAAGGAACAGAAAAGAGAGCCTAGAACTAAATCCATGCATTTATAGTCAACTCATTATTGAAAAAGTTGCCGAGTACATAATGGGGAAAGGAAAACCTCTTCAATAAATGGTATTGGGAAGACTGGATATCCACATGGAGAATAAAATTAGACCTTCCTCTCTTACCATATACAAAATTAACTCTAAATAGATTACAGACTTAAGCGTAAGGCCTGAAGCTATGAAACAACTAGAAGAAACATTTCATGACATTGTTCTGGGCAAGGATTTTTTGGGTAAGACCTCAAAAGCACAGATAACAAATGTAAAAGAGACAAATGGGATTACATCAAACTAAAAAGCTTCTGCACAGCAGAAGAAACAATCAGCAGATAGAAGAGACAACCTACATAGTGGGAGAAAATATTTGCAAACTATACATCTCACAAAGGGTTAACATTCAAAATGTATAAGGAGCACAAACAACCAAAAAAAAAAAAAAAAAAAAAAAGAACAAATAATCTGATTAAAAAATAGGCAAAATGGCCCAGCGTGGTGGCTCAAGCCTGTAATCCCAGCACTTTGTGAGGCCAAGGAGGGTGGATCATGAGGTCAGGAGTTCGAGACCATCCTGGCCATGGCGAAACCCTGTCTCTACTAAAATACAAAAAATTAGCTGGGTGTGGTGGTGTGCACCTGCAGTCCCAGCTACTCAGGAGGCTGAGGCAGGGGAATAGCTTGAATCTGGGAGATGGAGGTTGCAATGAGCTGAGATCGTGCCACTGTACTACAGCCTGGAGAAAGAGCAAGACACCATCTAAAAAAAAAAAAAAAAGGCAAAAAACTGAATAAACATTTCCCAAAAGAAGACATACAATGGTCAACAGATATATGAAAATATGCTTAGCATCACTGATTGTCATGGAAAGGCAAAATAAAATCCCAATGAGATATCATTTCACCCAGCTAGAATGAACATTATAGAAAAGACAAAAGAGAACAAGTACTGGGGAGGATGTGGAGAAAAGGGAACCCTTATATACCATTGGTGGGAATGTAAATTAGTACAGCCCTTATGAAAAACAGTATGGAGGTTCCTCAAAAAATTTTAAATAGAACCACCATAAGATCCTGCAAGTCTACTACTGGGCATATATCCAAAGGAATTGAAATCAATATGTCAGAGATAGTGATACCAAAATAGCCAACATATGGAATCAACCTAAGTGTCCATTAGTGGATGAATGGATAAGAAAATGGGGTGTATATACACGATGGGATACTATTCAGTCACAAAAAGAATGAAATCCTGCCATTTGCAACAACGCACTTGGAGGATGTTATGTTAAGTGAAATAAGCTGGGTACAGAAAGACAAATACTGCATGCTGTCACTTATGTGTGGAATCTTTACAAAGTTGATCACATAGAAGTAGAGAATAGAATGGTGGTTGCCATAGGCAGGATGGTTAGGAGAGGGGGAAATGGGAAGATGTGGTCAAAGGATACATAATTATGGTTAGATAGGAAGGATAAATTTTGAGAGATCTATTGTACAGCAAGACAACCGCAGATGATGAAATATTGTACTCTTGAAAAATGTACACAGAGTGGATTTTATTTGCTCTTGTTACAAAAATGATAACTAGGGTGAGGTAATGTATTTGTTAATTACCTAGATCTAGTCATTCTGCAATGTGTATGTACTTCAAAACAGCATGCTCGACACAATGCTGTCAATTTTAAAAAATAAATAAAACATATTCAAAAATAAATAGTCAGAAAAAGATGCAAGAAATGAACAGACAAAACAAAAAAGAAAATGATGAAGCTATAATTTAAACACTGCCTGGACTAACTTTCTTTTTCTTTTTTTTTTTTTTTTTTTTTTTTTGTATTTTCAGTAGAGACAGGGTTCTGCCATGTTGGCCAGGTAGGTCTTGAACTCAGATGATCCTCCCACCTCGTCCTCCCAAAGTTCTGGGATTGCAGGTGTCAGCCACTGCGCCCGGCCAACCCTGGACTAACTGTCAATGGTTGCTTTCTTTTCTGCATGCTGTTGCCTATTGGAAGGGAATTGCTTGATGCCTCTGGCTTGCTCCACTTTTGAGTCAGAGATATCTCCCTGGCTGGAAATTAAGTAGTGGCCACAGTTGGTAGGGTCCAATCCCCAACAGCCGGCTCATTTCTCAGTGAAGTGGTTATTGTGTTTGCAAATACAGAGCAGACCTAGAACAGCAATATACCCATTAAGATAGTGTCTCTGACAGCAATAGGCGATCAGTTCTCTTCCTCATATTACAGCGCTCATTAACCACTGGAAAGACTTGAGAAAACACAAAACATTCTCTGCATGGCATCTTTAAATGGGAAGCACACTGAAATTACCTTTTTCTCTTTGAAAAAGCTCCAAATTAAATGGATAAAAGTAGCTTTATATTACTGCTTTTGTTTTCACAGCTGCCAAAATAGCTCCGGATCTCCTGGTTAAATTCATAATAACCTCAGTTGAAATTACATGTGTCTAAAGATAGAAGAAGCGGGGCCAGGCATGGTGGCTCAGGCCTGTAATCCCACTGCTTTGTGAAGCTGAGGGAGGAGGAGTGCTTGAGCCAGGAGTTTGAACAAGCCTGGGCAATATAACAAGATCGTCATCTCTCAAAAAAAAAAGAAAGAAAGGAAGAAAGAAACAGACCAGTAATCAGTAATGTGACAGGTGCCTGTAGTTCCAGCTACTTGGGATGTTGAAACAGGAGGATCTAGTGAGCTATGATGATGCCATTGCACTCCAGCCTGGCCAACATAGCAAGAACCTGTCTCAAAAGCAAAAAAACAAAAGCAAAAGATAGGAGATGCAGGTCAGAGCATCTGATGCCTTTCCTATCTTTAAAAAAGACATTGTCTTTTGTTTAAACGGATCTGTTCATTTTAACTCAAAGCAGTCCTTGATGACAAATGAATGTGAAAAACCTACAAAAGTCCTAAGTTGGGAAGCTTTCTTTCTTTCTCTTTTCGTCCTTTCTCTTTCTTTCTTCCATTCTCTCTCTCTCTCTTTCTTTCTCTCTCCCTCCCTCCCTCTCTCTCTCTCTTTCTCTCTTTCTTCTCTTTCTCTTTTTTTGAGACAGAGTCTAACTCTGTTGCCCAGGCTAGAGTGCAGTGGTGTGATCTCGACTCACTGCAACCTCTGCCTCCTGAGTTTAAGTGATTCATGTAGCTGAGATTACAGATATGAGCCACCATGCCTGGCTAATTTTTGTATTTTTAGTAGAGACAGGGTTTTGTCATGTTGGCCATGCTGGTCTTTAACTCCTGGACTTAAGTGATCTGCCTGCCTTGGCCTCCCACAGTGTTGGGATTACAGTCATGAGCCACCGTGCCCAGCCGGAAGTTTTCATCAATATACCCCCAACGTCATCATATATATTGTGTTTGCATCTCAGAAGTTATTTCAACAATTAATTTTATCCATATATGGTCTCTTTTTTATTGGAAATGCATTAGAAAAGTTATTAGTTAAATGCCCATTTTGCAGATTTGTGTTGAGGGACAGCAGCAGATTGGTGGATGATCAGAAAGGTGGTACCTGGGATGGCAGTATTTTGGAGAGGGGGTCTACAAACCAAGTTGTAAGATGGCCTGGGGGCTGTTTAGCCCATGGAAGAATTTCCAGGCAGACACGGGGTCTTCAGATATTTGAGGGACTCACTTGCCCTGGACAGGAATAAATAGGTATCCTCTTCTTTACACTAGAGGGCAGAACTTGGACTAAAAGAAGGTCAGTATAGGGAGAAAGTGACGTACATGTGGGAAAAATCTTTAGGATACTTGAGTTTATTAGAAGGATGAATATTTGAACATTAAAGTTGTTGGGAATGATGGCGGGGACCGTCTCAAGTAATGATGTTCTTCCTAGCACCGGGATAGTTCAAGCTAGGGAAGCTATGGCAGGAATTGCAGATTACGCTCAGTGCCCTAAAGTTCCATTCCAATTCTAAGAACTTAGTTCATGGTTTAACTTATATGCTTTGTATCAGTTGCTCTTATGTGACTCAAATATGACAAATGGTTTAACAATGATTGCTGGAGAAAAGTCTATGCAGTAGAAGCTCACTGATTGAAAATAATTGAAAGGGAGAGCCAGTTTGGTTGGTGAAGTCAATTATGAAATGATTATAAATCATAAACAGCCATTTTATTATTTTCAAGTCCTTGGATGCATGGAATTATAGCTACCAAAGTTGCCTGGTCAAGGTTCTGCTTCAAAGAATTGAGAATGATTTGTAATCAACATGTCAGAGTACCAGGCTTGCTGGCCTTTGCTTAGATTAGAAGAATTAAATCATTTCCAATTCAGAATGTTTGAAAACAGTTGGTTCTCATGAGTAAATAAATAGGCCCTTCAGAATTTCATTTTAAGTGTTTATTCTGTCAACTCTTTCTTTTTTTTTTCTGTTTATACGGCAAAGGGAAGCTTCTGTTCGACTTCTGTCAAAATGTCACAGTTAAAAATAAACAAAAGTACAATATAAATGAGAGATTTGTTGTATTTTGGTCAGACCAATTCTCTATCTTGAAGATTGAATGTTAGATTGCTCAAAACTCATGGAAGGAAACTTTCTG